AGCTATGATTTTGCCCAGGATGTGTCAAAGAGCACCTGTTAAGAGCAATTAAGCAGGAGAGCTCAGTTTGCTGTTAGAAAGTCCAACTCAGAAAACAACTCCTTCTGACTCTTCTGGAAATTGTTTTGGGGCCATTTGGGCAGAAGTCCAAGAATGAGATACACTTCCTGAGCCAGTGCTAGCTGAACGCTATGCTTCACCTGTTCTGCCCACCTAATGCTTGTCTAGCCCTGCATACGCACAGGCATTAGGCATGCTGTACACGCGCGCGCGCGCGCGCAAACAGACACACATACACACACACACACACACACACACACAATAATATGAGCATATTGCTTCCTCAGAGCCAGCTCAACTTGTTCTTCTAAGTAACAGACCCCACTCCCACAGGGATCATAACAAAGGAAAAAATGCCTTACCTGATATTAGCACCAGGGAAAAGAATTAGCCAGGCGTGGTGGTACATGCCTGTAGCCCCAGCTACTTGGGAGGCTGACGCAGGAGAATGGCTTGAACCCAGGAGTCAAAATCGTGTCACTGCACTGCAGCCTGGGCAATAGATCGAGGCTCCATCTCAAAAAAAAAAAAAGGAAAAGCAAGAAGATCTATGAAGGCCTTCAGTAGCCTGGGTTTTGAAAAGTTTAATGGAATAATGGAAAGAGGACACCTCAGAGAGGCAGGCAACTTGTGTTCTTGTTCTTGTTCTTGTTCTCACCATGAACCCTGGGACAAGTAACTGCTCTGAGCCTCAGTTTCTCTAAACAGAAGACGAGAAAATCCTTCTCACTCTTGCCTCTCCTGCATGGGGAGGTGTGTGAGGAAGGTTTCAAGTGACACTTTGAACTTTGCATTCCTTTTTGCTTTTTTTGAGATGGAGTCTCCCTTTGTTGCCCAGGCTGGGGTGCAGTGGCATGATCTCTGCTCACTGTAACCTCTACCTCCCGGGTTCAAGTGATTCTCCTGCCTCAGCCTCCCAAGTAGCTGGGATTATAGGTGTGCACCACCATGCCCAGCTAATTTTTTTGTTTTTTTAGTAGAGATGGGATTCACCATGTTGGCCAGGATGGTCTCAAAATCCTGACTTCATGATCTGCCTGCCTCGGCCTCCCAAAGAGCTGGGATTACAGGCATGAGCCACCTTGCCTATCCTGAGCTTTGCATTCATTTTGAAAAACCCCAGCTTTGCACAGTGGCAGTATCGTAGCCAATTACATTTATCCGAGGCTCGATTATTGCTAATTGAAAACTTTTCCCAATACCCCACCATGGCAACTTGCAATATAGTTGGCATTGGCAATTTTTGACAGTCTCTACAGAGATGCAATTTAAAAAAAAGAAAAACCCTAAAGGGCAATTATGAATCTAATGATTTGGAAATGAAAGGGCCCCTGAATACCAGACTGCCCTCCTTTATCTTTTGATCTCTATCTCAAGTTTTGTGGCTAGTTCCAGAGAGTGTGAGTTCTCTACTATGGACTTGGGCTCTTCTAATCATTGTTCCTAAGGGACCCTTCAAGGAACCACTTTTCATTGTGGCTTGTTCTAGTGGTGCAGTCCCAAAGTTCAGTCCATCCCAGGAAGGATGTCAAGAAAAGAGGCGTTAATAAACTTAGGTAATTTTTTTCTCCACACCCTGGCTTCCTAGGGAAATAGGGTTGATACTAGAAATCTGTGACGAAATGTAAGAGAGAATTGTTTTGTCAAGTGAAGGTAAGCCCATGTGTCAGGTTTTCTCATGAGCCTTTTTAAGGAGTCTCTCAACTCCAGACAACAATTGGGGGAGGGGGCAGGAAAACAGATACTTCCTCTATGTGCCTTCCTGCACCCCCTCACCCCCACCTCCACCTCTCTCAATATAGCATTACAAGCAAACCAAATTTTTATCCATCTACCTCAGTGAGATCCTTCAAAAACACCAAGAATCCCCACAGCAGCTCAGACAGTTCCCTTGCCCGATTCTTGCTTCTACCTCAGGGCATTTAGTTTTCATCAGATGAGTGGGGAAAGCAATTATTTTTAGGTGGGGGGGCAGGTCTCACTCTGCCCAAACTGGAGTGCAGTGGCAGGATCTCGGCCCACCGCAACCTCCACCTCCCAGGCTCAAGCGATTCTCCTGCCTCAGCCTCCCAAGTACCTGGGATTACAGGCACTTGGCACTACTGCCCAGCTAATTTTTGTATTTTTAGTGGAGATGGGATTTCACCATGCTGGGCAGCCTGGTCTTAAACTCCTGATTTCAAATGATCCACCCTCCTCAGCCTCCCAAAGTGCTGAGATTGCAGGCATTAGCCACCATGCTGGCCCCCAATTTTACGTGTATGTACATTTCTACCAGATCCGATTTTTTTTTTCTCTCCTCTCACAGGCTCCTAAAGAGATAATTCATTGCAACAAATTATCACTTTTAAGTGTTCTCAGTTCCTGATTGTTTAATACTCTACTGCCAGTTACTGTTTGCCTTCCCTCAAATAGACTAACCTTCATTTTAAATTCAGACTCTCCCCACTTCCTTTTTTAAAATAAGCATTGCAGAGTAATTGATGAGAGGGTGGGGATTACCACTTACAGGTTTAATTTGTTTATTACACTTTCAATAGAGGACTTATCACTGAACCCTGAGTGGGCTGCTCTCCTCCATCTTCTACTTTTCCTGTCTCCCTCCCTCACACCACACATCCAAGACAGAATCCCTTGAATGACTGAACCCAGCTTCTTCTTATTACTAACCCATCTTTTAACTGAGGTATAGAGTCTCTAAGGGGCTGTTTTGCCTCCTCAGGGCTGAGGAATAACCTGTCACCTACCACCTTAACTCCATCTACATACCTGGTCTAATCTCAAAATCCAGGACCGCTCTGAATTAAGATAGTGTTTCCACCTCAGAGGCTGGGGAGCCCAGCAGAAGTTGTAAATTGGAGGAAATATTGGGGTTTATAAATCAGGGTATATTGTCTTTCACCAGGACATTTTTTTTTTTTTTTTTTAAGAGTGCAGTGGTGAGATCACAGCTCACTGTAGCCTCGACCTCGGCTCAAGTGATCCTCCCACCTTAGCCTCCTGAATAGCTGGGACTACAGGCACATGCTACCATGCCTGGCTAATTTATTTTTATATTTTGTAGAGATGGGATCTCCCTATATTGCCTAGACTGGTCTCAAACTCCTGGGCTCAAGTGATCCTCCCACCTTCTTCCCAAAGCACTAGGATTACAGGCATTGAGCCACAGTGCCTGGCTAAGGTTTTTTTCTTTAAGATAGTATCAGACCGTGCTTAAGTACTCCTTTTGGTTTCTTGATAACTCAAGAAGTTAAAGAAAAGCCTCCTCCCTTCCCAGATCTATCTTCTAATAGCAGCTATTTTTTCTTTCAGCAGAATCTCTTTAAAATGGACATAGAAGACTGCAATGGCCGCTCCTATATGTCTGGTATGCCTTCTGTGTGTTCTGTTTGTTAGGGGCCGGAAGCAGACACTCTCCGGTAGAGCAGAGAGCCTTCAGCCTAGGCACATGGCCTCTAAATGTCCTAGTCACACAGCTAACACTCATGCTTGGTGACACTTGTTAGTGTGCAATTATTTTGGTGATTTTACATTCCCTAAATAGTAATTCTCTTTTCCAGACTTCTTGAGGGATAGAGGAAGGGAATAGGAGGAGAATATGAGTGGACATCATTAGAAGAATGATTTGAAGCAAATATATGGAAAGAAAATATGGTTCCTTCTCCTATGCTCTGAAGTCACCAGCCAAACATGAAATTCTGTTCTATCCAGATAGAGTGGCACAAGGTTTTAGACCTCAAAGACCTGCAAGGGCCAGGTGGGCATGTGAATGAGTGAAGTAAGATTAGGATAATAAGCAGAATGGTGGGGGCTGTCATGAAGTGGAGAACGAACACATGTCCCACTTAAAGGGACAGCAGCTTTCAGTTTCACTAGTCCTTGTCATACAGAAATGTGTATCTAGTGTGACCAAAATTTCTAAATTTTTAAGGGAAATCAGAAATTCAATTTTTTTTGCGGGGGAGAAGATATTCATGACGCACTTGTACAAATTTTTTTTTTTTTTTTTGAGATGGAATCTTGCTCTGTTGCCCAGGCTAGAGTGCAGTGGCATGATCTTGGCTCACTGCAACCTCCACCTACCAGGTTCTAGCGATTCTCCTGCCTCAGCCTCCTGAGTAGCTGGGATTACAGGTACCCATTACCATGCCCGGCTAATTTTTATATTTTTAAGGTGAGATAGGCATTTCACCATCTTGGCCAGTCTGATCTCGAACTCCTGACCTCATGATCCACCTGACTCAGCCTCCCAAAGTGCTGGGATTACAGGTATGAGCCACCACACCCGGACAGAAATCCAAATTTTTATATGAAATGTCTCCATTTTAAAATAATGTACTCAAGGCTGGGCACAGTGGCTCACACCTATAATCCCAGCACTTTAGGAGACAGGCAGATCACCTGAGGTCAGGAGTTCAAGACCAGCATGGGCGACATGGTGAAACCCTGTCTCTACTAAAA